TAGGGAAAAAAATGAAGCATTTCTGTCAATAAAGATTGAGTAATAGCAAAGCCTGCACCCTTTATGTGTGGTTGACTGTTAAGTCCACTATAGCCACTGCTTCATAATGTAGCTGATTTTGCTTCTTTCCGACCATCCGAAAATCTATAAGCATGAGTCTGATTTTTGTGGAGGTGTCTTACCCAGGGTTCCATAGAGTCCAGAGACATACCATACCTTGAAAATCTTTACTTCTGTTGTGCTGCCATTGGTTGTATAGAAGAAACATTAATGAGCCCCGAGCATAATCTCATCCTGAACTTCGTAACTAGAAGAAAGGTGTCCCTGATGCATGTGATTATGTGTGGGAGTAAAGTATGGCCCTGTGGTATTAGAGCACCAGCAGAAGGTAGGAGGTTCTGAGTTTCTCCCACACCAGCTACTTGGCAAGGCTGATAAAAATTTTAAATGCAATGTTTGTGCCTAAATCAGCACATCATATATCATCATCTTGAGATATCATCTCCTGGCTGATCATATCTGCTTTGTTAATTGCTTGAAGGATTGGAGAGTTACTGCCTTTTTTATTTATTTTTCAGCGAATGGACTTCTTACTGTTGTTACTTAGGTTAATGTTTGTATTTCTTTTGCAGGAACAGCATAGCAGCCTCAGCAGTTTGCGTTTTCAACCTGAGTGCCATAACTCAGGCCTTTAATGGACCCTTCAAATACCAGGAGAACTCTCGCTCTGCTTGGCTTCCGTATCCCAATCCTAACCCTAATTTTCAGGTACAGATATGTGGGAGAAGGACAATAGTTTACATGAGTTTTTTTCAAAATGCTCTATGGTTCATAGTTAATAAGTCCAGTTTTGCAGTGTATTGTAGCCTAAGACCTTAAAAAAATTACACAAAAAAAAAAATGCTTAAAAGGTCCCCTTATTTCAACATACTTAATTTTATCCTTCCACAAAATAATTTGGGTTGAAAAGCAGATGTGCTTTGAAGGGTAGGAGAAAAAAGGCTTAACTTCAATCTTCTGTCAAGGTAACATTAATTCCTGGCTGAAGTATGATCAAACTGCTATTCTCTTTTACATTGTATTTGTACTATTAGAACCTGAAAAAGGAACATTGTTTGACAGAAAAAGAAAAGGGGAGGCAATAAAGGAGGAGCGGTCAGGATTTTGTATATTTTCCTGTGCAAGGTGGTCCACACTCCCTGAAGGGTCCGATTAAAAGAATTTGTGATGTGGTGTGCCCCTCATTTGAATTTGTCAGCCTCAGAGGGTGTAATAATCTGCAGCTGGCTGACAGTGTAAAACTAATTAGTCCAAAGTGGGTCACTCAGTGGAACTTTCTACAAAAAGAAAAAGGTATTTCACGTAGGCACATACGCATTGTATTCTTCTTCTGCATAGTCATAGTTAGTGAGTGTGATTCTAGCACGGGAAATGGAAGGGAAAACAGCATTAATTTAGTGCTTAACAACAGCAGCTTTTCACCAAGATACTTAAGTGTATCCACCTTTACCCACCTTTCACCATCCCTTAATCTCAATGCAATTTCACAAGTTCAGTGCCTTCCCTATCTTCTTGTAAGGGTCATGAGGTCTTTGCAAGCATGAAACAGAATCACCCATCGGGGATTGTAGGTAGTTTTAATTAGTTCCTGATTTGTGCAAACAAAGGAAAATAAGGCACTGAATTTGCTCTGAATTACAGGCCAGAGCCACGTTACCTTTCCTAAATAGTATGTTTGGCATTAGCCCCAGGTGACAAGACACCATTTAAATAAGCCATATTGCAGGAGCGGGCTATATTTGTAGATAGCTTTTTACATATTGTAGAAATATTTGTATTGTCAAAATAATGACAGTAAGAGGGCCTAGGTGAGGCTAAATTTTTGAAGGAGAAAGCCTGAAGAAAGGCTTGTATGTAAAAATCTTATCTTTCTGACTAGGTGAGCAAGTCCAATAAAAGTTATTAACCTCTCCCTACAAACCTTGTATTAATCTGTTAATAATTATTCTGAGAGCACCCCATGCAGAATGGTACATACAGAGATGACAGCCTGATGGTTGTGTAAAAACGGTTTAAGTCTCTACTGTACTGTTGGCGCTCGTCTCTCAATCCCAGTCAAGACGGAGGTGTTGAAGAGATCTCTTGCTTGGATAGTTGGCTGATTTTAATATGGCTGGTACTTCATCAAATTTACAAGAATAGTGGCAACAGTTGTCTCGTATCTCATTGAGCAACAGCTTTGCAGCCCAGCGCTAGTGTTAAAAGCTGTAACGTGGCCTTTTACAACACAATATTCAAGCCGATTGACATTAACTGATCTCTAGGTATCATCAGTGATGTCAAACTTTTGTTCTTCTGCAGGTGCTATCTTTTATTCTGTTGAACTTTCTCTCAGATTTCTGGCTCCATAACTGCAGCACTGATGTATACCAGAAGCTAGTCTAATGCTTAGAGCTAGGTGTAACCATTTTTGTGATTTGATGGTGCATTAGGGTACATACTGCTCATTGATGGGATATATTAATTGGCTGAGTCACTAGTTTCCTCCCCAGAAAGGAGGACTTTTCTTTTGCAGAGTGCTTTTGATAAAATATCAGAAGTTCTGTTTGTGTAGTCTCGGAAGTAGATTTATCCTCAGAGTATTCATCTACTCAGCAATAACAGACAGAAGTATGTGGTTTGAAGGAAGACTACTGCTATGTAGTGATAGTTACATCAGACATTGTATTTCCAAGACTGGATTATATTAATGAAATATTTTCCAGATTAGAATACTGTTGGAGTCCCAGTTTTGAGGAACGCTGTTTTTCTCCAGAGATAGTTGCTTTTCTCTTTAGCAGGATAATTTCCATCGTAAGACCACGGACCTTATGTATTTCAGTGTACTATAAGCGTTCCAGCTGGAATCTTTCCTGCTTGATAGATTCAGAGAAATTCTTCTTTGGCGTGGTTTATTTTTTTCACTGGCCTGACATGCAGGGTGCTTACAGAGCAAGTAATTGTTTCCTGCCAGTTGCTTAACTGTCTTTCCTCATCATATGATCTCTTATTATGAAATTATTTATTTGAGGGTTTTTTAACATTTGTGGACTTGGAATGATCACTTAATTTCATATTGAAAACATGGCAATAATGAAAAAATAACTGGTAGGGTTTTGCACACTGTATTATTTTGTTCATGCAGTAATTCATAGCATAATTTATGATGTAGAATAGAATGAAAAAGTATGACTTAGGTATGCCTTTCACATCAACGATATATTTGGTAAATGTTGTGAAGTACTGTTTTAATTCTCTGATGCAATTATGCATGAGTAAACATGTTCACATGCGCTAAGCAGCTTTCTCTTTTGTGTCCTCAGTTAGTTGAAGACTTAAACACAAAGATGCTAAAATTAACTGCCACTTACTTTGCTTTGTTTATTTGTGCATGCAATTAGTGAATGCTTTCCTGTAAGAAGAGAGTACAGTTTTCAGATGTAAAATACAGTCAGTTCCAAAGCAAAAATGTCTTTGCTGTGGATAACACTTCATAGTTAGAGCTCCACACTGCCCATTCTTGGCTAGTGAATGCAGGGTCTGAAGAAGCTGCTAGAACTGTGCGTGGTGCTGTGACCTGGGATTTCTGTCAGACCCTGGCTGTGGCAGGACATGCGCTTTCCTTTGAAAATTTGTTATGTCTTTGGCACTGCATCTGTGTAAATTATAAAGAAAACTATTCTGAAAATTCTGTGGTTTGTTGGATGGTAGTTTTTCTCCTCCCTGCCCTGTGAACATAGGATATAGCAAAATATTACTATAGCCTACTTGTGGTGGTCAGTCTGGTGCCCTTCCATATTGTCTAGAGTTACGGAGCCTCCATAGTACTGCCTCAGGGAAGTGGAGCTTCCTCAATCACCATGTGGACAGTCTGGTCAGCACCAAAATGAGACCTGAAAGTGGAATTCCACACTGTCACTACAAGATATACTCTTAGTTTTTATTTTCTTGTGCTGTAAATCAGAGAGTAAATCTGTTGTTATCATTGATGCATATAGTAATGTTAATTTTGTGTGTTTACAGTGTGGCACCATGGACCAGGGTTTGTATGTGAATCTGACTGAGAGAAATCTTCAAGATGCTCAAAAATTCTTCTTAATGCATGAGGTCGTTCAACCAGTTATTCCAATTCCTTACTTTATGGAAGACAACAGCCGATTTTCGCATGTGGTTGTGGATGTCGTGCAGGGCAAGGACATGCTTTTCCATATCATCTATCTTGCCACAGGTATGAACTCTGCATTGCTGTGGTAACTGCAAAAGTTTATGAGGTCTATGAGCTTTAATATTCTGTGAATCAGTTATGCAATATGTATAGTGCACCTTGAACAACAGCTTTTCCTGTTTGGCAGCATTAACTCTACCTTCTACCTTTTCTGAGTAGATGAATTCAGCAGTTTGCAATGCCTTTGTTTATATTACTTTGTGAACTCAAATTTTGGTGTCTGTTTCCTATTCTCCTTTGAAGGTAGGAAGCCTACATGCTCTTGAGGGAGCGAACGGTTGGAAATTGTGCAAACGGGACTTCACAAGTTTCTCTGTCTTTTATTCTTTTTCTGTAGTTCAGGGTACAATCTCGCCCAAGATAAGATCGTTTAGGATTCTCTGAGATAGAAGTAACTCTACAAATAGCAAATACAATTACTGCTATTGCTATTTCTGACTTTTCTGCTCACAAAAATTTTATTACCTTTTCATTTCATTTTTAAGTCATTCATTATGCAGTTTTACACCCTGCCTTATTATTTGTCCATTTATATGTGAGCTTAGCAATGGAAGAAAAATAATCCTCCACCTAAAATTGCATTGGTTTCAGGTATTGCTTTCTTGGTTCAAAATTTCAAGCTTCTTAAAAATAGTGAGGATGTCAGAGAATTGTTTTTGCAAAACAAGGATGTCCCCAGCTGAGACTCAAATACTAGATTGGAGTAACATGTTTAGAGCCTCATGGCATAAGACTTAGGGTAGTTCTCAAATACTTAGTCCCATGCACATCAGTAGGGAATTGCTTATCAAAGCAATGGTTTGTTAACGTGCATATTTTGTCTCACAGTGAGTAGGCACCAAATTGAAAGAATCTGTTGAGCAACAAGAGGAAAAAAATCCTAATTCTATTTATTTGATCTTGCAATCAATGAAGTAAATTTCAAAATTGTGATTGATTCAGTAGAAACTGGATCAATGCTTTTAATTACTAAAATTACGATTTACTAATGAAAGTTGTATATTCTATAGCTTATCATTTATCAAGAGCCCATGAAAAATGTGCATTGTGATTCAATATATAATTTAATTTTCCCTTGAAAGCATGATACCATTTTTCAGAGAAGATTACTTCTTTTGAGTCTGAAAAAATTTTATAGTAATTTGGTGCATTTGGGTGAGACAGTATTTCTTTGCATATTATCCTTGTAGCTTTCTCATTGTGCTCCTTGAAAGATAGGCAGTAATATAAAAGCTTTTAATAAGTTAAAACTGTGCTTGGATTTGACCAATTGTAGTCAAAACAGCCTGCTGGTTGGTAAATCATAGCATTTTAAGTGAAATCATGCCAATACTAAATGATGTTTGTATTGTAGACGTCTCCTGACAGAAACTGAATTACAGAAGTATGTACTGAATTGGTTTTATATGAAGAGACTATCACTGCTCTGTGGGATATTTACATTATAATGGCAGCACCGAGAATGATGTCATTTGTCATAATTCTGATTGTCTTCAGTTTTCAGTTCCCCTTACTCTGTTTCCTTTTATGTTTGATTCAGTAAGGGAGGATCTAAAACTTTATGTTTCATGGTTCATTAATAAACTGTGTTCAATAAAGGTTCTAGGTTCTTTTTATGCATCTTTCTTACTGCGAAAAAGATACACCTCCTATTGTCCTTATGATGTGTACTTGCCTTCCACTTTTATTCTTCTCTATACCTCTGGTTTTGGTCATTCATGGAAGTAGGATACTACTTTAGCTGGATCTTTAGTCTGACTCCAGCACATGCTTTTATGTAATTGGACAGTGTATGTTTTGTAAGTGTGAGAAACCGTACGACAAAAACACCCCAGATAACAATATAGTGTTCCTGAAGTTTTCTTGACAGAGCCAATTCTATTGCACTTCTATTTCACTGAATCACAATGTTTTTTGTTAACATTGCTTCTGCCCCCTCCCCCCCAATTGAGTGTAAGTACTAAGCTTTATTTTCCAAGAAATATTAATATTAACTTTTCAGAAAAAATATCTTTTTGGTAGATTTTGAAATTACCACACACATTTTTTTATATAAATACCATACCTAAAATACCTAAGAGTAGTTTAAAAATCCCAAGATATACCAAAAAATCTTATGATTTGAGGAGAAAGGCAGTATTTTTACCTTTTTTGGGGTGCAGGTCATGATTTTAATTTCACGATACTGGTAATAATGCAGCATCTTAGTTCTCCATAGTACTATCTTTGCTTGTGTAGAAGCTGTGGAGCTGTTAGCGTTGAGTTTGCATCCTAAACTACATGTGCTAAAAGACTACTGAGAAAACACCAGTGCTTCTGTAAACAACAGAAACTAAAAGGCAGCAGCCTTAACTTTGAAGATAAACAATAACTTTGGAAGCAGACCAAGTGTAATAGTTTTTAACTCACCCAGTGTCCGGCCTTACTCCCGCATACAATGTCATTACCCCAAGCTCCTAACACCTTAAAGCATGTGTATGTTTGGGAGAGGTGGAAGAGTGGGGTTACAGTTACTACCAGACTGAGAAAGGTTGTCATTATTGTATCTTTTCTGATTTAATTTACTTGTGTTATTAAAAGTGGTGGCAGATTAAATTTGGAGTTAAATTTTTGCCACAATGCTCCATCTTCAAAAAAAACCAAAGGAACGATCTGGGGAACAATGGGCTGGTCTGCGTTCAGTCCCTGAGAAAATCAAGGAGTACACCTCCTTGGGGCACACTTCTGTGGGCACATGATGGAGAATAAGGTGATTTTGAACATTCAGTATGGATTTCCCAAGAGTGAATCACACCTGACCAACCTGATTACTTTCTGTGGTAAAATGACTGGATTTGTGCATGAGGGAGTAGTACTTCAACTTTAGCAAGGCTTTCGACGCTGTCTCCCACAATGTTCATATATCCAAATTAGGATGTATGGTCTGTATGGGTGGACAACTGGATGTATAAAACCTGCTTGGATGTCAGGCTCAGAGGGTAGTTGTTAATGGGATGTATACAAATGGTAAGGAGCTGAGTACTGTCCTATTTAACATTTTAATCAATGACCTGGGGAGACAACAGAGTACACTCTGTCAAGTGTGCGGATGACACCAGACTGGGGTACCAGTAGTTACACTGGAGGACAGCGCTGCCATCCAAAGGACCTAGACATGCTGGAGGGATGGGCTAGCAAGAACCTCACGAAATTCAACAGGTGCAAATATGAAGTCCCAAATCTGGGAAAGACTAACTCTATGCAATGATTGAGGCTGGGGACTGACTGTCTAGGAAACAGCTCTGCTGAAAGGACTTGAGGACTTTGGTAGACAGCAAGCTGAACATGAGCCAAGAGCATGCCCTCGCAGCAAAGAAGGCCAACAGTGTCTCGGGCTCTATTAACAGGAACATAGCCAGTAGATCAAGGGAAGAGATTATCCCCATGTACTCAACACACTTTAGACCACATCTAGTTTTGGCCTCCTCCAATACAAGAAGGACATTGATAAACTGGAGCAAATTCAGTGGAGGGCCACCTTCTGTTGGGGGCTGGAGCACTGTGCCCTAGGAGGAGAAGTTGAGGGAACTGGCCTTGTTCATCCTAGAGGAAAGAAGGCTACGGGAAGGGGCAGGGTGTCTAGTAACAGACTGCAAATACCTACAGGGAGTTTACATGAAGAACAGAGCCAGGCTCTTCACAGTGGTGCATGGTGGGAAGACAAGAGACAACAGGCAAAGAGTTTCAGACTGGGTATAAAGAAAAACTTTTTCACTCCGAGGACAGTCAAGCACTGGATCAGATTTCCAAGAGAGGTTGTGCAGTCTCCATCCTTGGAGGTTTTCAAGACTACACAGCAACCCAGCCTATGTTATAGCTAGCTGTCCTTTGAGCAGGAGGTTGGACTTGAGACCTCCTGATGTCCCTTCCAACCTAAATTATCCTCTGTCTATTGTATGCCAGTACAATGTGCAAATTCGTTGGGCTAAATTACATTTTTACTCAAGCCTGTGATAATAGATATCATTGTACTTTCTGCTGCCAAAAGGGAAGTGCATTCAACTCTAATAGAAGTACTGGCAGTAAGTAATTTACACTTACTGGTGTAAAGCAGGATAGATCCAACCCATACTGTGTGAGATGTACTCTGCATAACTTTTCTCATTATAATTCATTACAACATTCTTACAAAAATAGTATTTTAAAATGCACAAAGCTGATTCAGTGGAAAGGTAGGCATATAGGTTGGATTGAATACAAATGAATGCTCTGCTGTCTTTGTTACTCAAAGCAAAAATCCCATTCTTTGAAGCAGATGGGCAGTAGTTAAGAGAAAATTCTCTCTCTCTTCCCCCCTCACATTCACTTATCTATCCACCCTGTTATTAGAATACAAATATTACAGAGGAGAATAACCCTGACAGTATAAAAATGTAATCTAATTTCATTAAACCTTAAATAGATATAATAGTACTTGAGGAGAGACTAGGAGTAAGCAAACAAATGCATTAATCTGCTGTGTCAACAGTCTTCATTTCCTAAACCTTTGCCAAGTCATCATTCTGCTAGGAGATTCTGATGTGCTGGGATTTAACAGCTACTGCTCATATCAAAAATATACTTTAGTACTTTGGAAGCACATCTGAATCTTTCGCTGCACTGACTTCTAACACAGAGTGAAGGGATATATCAATTCCTGCACATTTTGTGTTGCTTAGAACTAGCAGTGCTGCTGGCTTTAGGCAGGCAGAAATCCCTGAAACAATTTTCAGTGATTCAGAAAGGAAAGTCAAGGAAAGTGTTCACAGAAGTTCTGAACTAAAAATCATCTATAATAATAAGTTAAAAGTAGAGCAAGCTATAGAACAACCCAATATTCTGACAACTTTTCAAGTTTAAAAGGCTTTACTTCCTTCTTCGTTAGAAAAAATTCAAAGCAAAATGGTGCTATGTATGTCATAGTTTTGTTTCCCTCCCTTTTGTCCCTTTTTTCCCCCTCCCATTTCTTTCTCCCATTTATTCCT